TGTCTGGCCATGTAGGAGTATCTAGTGCCTTAACCACCACACCACCTGCTTGACCCTGGATTTTTTTTTCTTATAAATGAGGTTCTGAGAACCTTTTAAAATGGTAATAGATCATTCACACTCCTTTTCTATCAACTCTGTTCACATCTTTGGTCATTTTTTGGCAAGGCCAGGTTTCTTGTCCTTTTTCTTATCTGTTTTTTTTTTTTAAACTAAAAAATACTGTCTATCAGATATGAGTTTAATTTTTATTTTGAGAGATTTTTGTTATAGGACATGTGCACACTCCAGAGAGACAGAGAGAGAGAAAGTGAAAAATCACCCTCCAGGGGCAATGACCATGCCTCAATTCCTTCTTCATTTTTCTCCTGGGATTTTGGGCATACACACACACACACACACACACACACACGTGCCTAGCGTGAGTTTCAAGCCACCAGATCTGGGACTCAAACCATGGCTGACTATGTGGGATTCCAACACCTTAAACACTATATCACCTACTGGCCCCATAAGTTGCATTTTTTTAAAAAAGTTTTATTTGTTCCATAAGAGTGGAGAGATCAAAAAGAGACAACACACCCAGAAGATCTTGCTTCCCTCTTCCTTCCTCTTCTCTATTAGAAAAGAGACATAATAGTCCTATTTATTATGGAGGAGGAGGGTATGTAAGGATCACCTTTCCCAAGCATTTGTGGCATGTCAGCTTTAGCACATGGAGAGTGAGTTTTTGACCTTGTTTTCTTAACACGTGTGTTTTGTGAGATGAGCCTGTAGCTGCTGGGCTCCTTGACTCTGCAACCCAGAGTTCTGACCACCACAGACGGTCAGCAATCTTAGATACTGCATTAAGGATTCAAAACTCAACCCTGAGGCCCCACTGTGGTCGTGCACACTAGTAGATACTGCAACTTGGCAGGTGGAAGCCATATGTGTGGCCCAGATTTGATTCCCAACCCACCCTAATAGCCTGTGCAGTAGTGCACACCTATAGACCCAGCTACTTGGGAGGATGAGGCAGGATGATCACAATAGAGTAAGACCCTGTCTGAAAAAGAAAGAAAAGAAAAGAAGGGGAAAGAAAAGAAAATGCAATCTTGAAAACCAAAAAGACAATATAATGCACATATGCCTATCCTTTTCTGTGTCTTCATTGCCATTGTAAAATGGTATAGCAGTTACTTACGTAGAGAGGATTCATATTTCTAGCCTCCTAACCGCAGGCCCCGATCAGATCTTTTCTGACATCACATATCAATATTTTCTACATCTACAAGCCCCAGAAATATCTGTTCTATTTGTTATCACCTGCTTAGAGTTGAGGTATAGCCTAGTAGGATAACTGTAAGAAAAATAATGTTACTGCTTCTAATTTTCAAAATTAAAGGGTCCTGCTAAGGCAACCCATTTTCTGGGACCCATCTCCTTGGGAGCTCTGTTTTTCCTTCTCTCCCCTTCAACAATCTCCTTGGTTTGTGATACCTACTCTCTGTCTGCAACTAGTTCTTTCTGAGTGTGGGACAAGAACCCATGTCTCACTGCGAGTGCTGGACCCAGTTACCTCTGTATCCCCATGTTCCTGCGTCTTATTTTGGTGCGTTGGCAAGAAAATATCTAGACACCCCATCACGTTGGAATGATGGAAAACTGCCCATCAGGCACCGGCACCCCTTTGCAATGCCTCCTGACACACTGGGACTCCTAACGCTCAGTCTCTAAAGAAAAAGCACCTCATCTTTTGCACCCAAGCTTAGTTAATACAAATTGGCAAGTAATACTATTCAACAGATTTCTTTGTAAATGTCTAAAAATGTAAAATAAATGTCCAAATGTAAAAAAAATAAAAATAATAAGGGATGTGCTAAAAAGAACCCCAAAATAAGGCAGAAATAATACTGAAATTGAAACTTACCAACAGCTAGGTTTTTGCTGTGTTAATAAAGATGCTTTCTTAATATACCTTACAAATATGATTAAGTACCAATGAATCTTCAAAAGAGGAAAGCCTCAATTATCTGCTTTTAATACTACTTTGAAATTAGGAAAAAACGTTCTACCATTACTTCAGAAGCTACCTTTCTGAGTAAAGATTTTTCTTATTTTTACTTTTTAATTGTTACTTTTATTGTCACTAAGCAACATACCCGTTGTTGAATAGGCCAGGGTTTTGTAATTGCAGAAAGGTCACAAGCTGTCATCAGCATCGCTCTGTTAAGGAAAAAAGAAACCCAAAGGTCTTGTTTACTTTTACATGAATATATACCCTCAGGACATAGTTACTAACAACAAAGTTAAATTTAAATTAAAATCCTCTGACATAATGACACATGGTTGAGATGAGAGTATGCTATTTATCCTGAATGAATCATTTTACATTTTATTCTGTACTATAAAGTCATATTATACTCCTATAAATACGTGAAATTATTATATGTTAATAAAAATATTAAAAATTGGGGCTAGCTGGTGGTTAAGGAGAAGACTGACTGACTGCACAGTTCACGTTTTGGACCCAAGTGCCTGAAAAACACTCTGGCCACGTGTGCGAGTGCACAAAACCCCAAGAGGAGAATGGATTGTGGCACGGTCATACCCCCAGCGGGTGCTTTCTCACTTTCTCTTTCTCTCTGAGCACACATACTCAATAGCAATTAAAAAAAAAAAAGATAGACCCAGGAAATAGAAACAGACTTTACACAGAAGCCTGACTACTACAGTGTCAGTGTTGTGAACCACTGAAATTTGTCCTCAAACTGCCTCATTTAGCTCCAGATTGGCACAAGGAACAATAACTAACTTTTGGGTAGAAACTTGCCTAGTATTATTTTTTCATCTTGCTATCCTATTTTTAATGATAGTACGATGAAAGCACATTAACCCTGATAATAAAGGATAACATCAGATATGTTGCTCGTGACAGTCCTACGTCAGAAATTCTGGTGGGGCCTCCTAATTTACTCAACACATGTAATGACTTTTTTTTTTTAATATCTAGAGGGCACATGCGCTTGCCAGAGATAGAGACATAGAGAGAGAGGGGGACACTAAGAAAGCACTCTCCATGGGTCATAGACACACTGCAGTCCCTTCTTTTCTTTTTTGGGGATTTTGGGCACACAAACACATGGCCAGAGTGTTTTTTTCAAGCTGTCAGGTCCAGCACTTGAATTACATAATTGTCCACGTAGAATCCAGTTGCCTTAACCACCATGCCACTGTATTGCCCCACATGTAGCAAATTCTATGTAAAAAGCCTTCAGTTATTAAACAGTACACGCCGGAGATACGCTCCTTTTCTCCAGCAGATAGAAAGAGATGAGAGGACGAGGCTCTGACGTCTTTCCTGTGTTGGAGAAATGAAAACTTCGCCCATCTCTGGGGTCTGTAGCCAGGTACTCTAGAATTGACACAACTATTGTGTGGAAATGGGTCCATCCTTAGCAGTGTTTTCCCATGTCAGATCCAAATATCTGCCATATAATCCCTTTCATTTTTTAAAAAGAATTATTTTAGTTAACTTTGTTTATTTACTTTTTTATTTATTTATTATAATTTCACCAGAGAGGGACAGAGAGAGAGAGAGAAAGTGAGAAAGCAAGCCACCAAGTCCGGGACTCAAACCACGGTCAGCCATGTCCTTAACCAACATACCACCCACTGGCCCCACTAACCAACAGACCCCCCCCCTGGCCCCATTCTTTTCTTTAAAAAAAAAAAAAAAAAAACTAGGCACAATGGCCATTATTGTAATATAGAAACAAACACTCAAGGTAGTTATATTTGAACAAAACTCAACCTTGAAAGTGTGTTCTCCCTAACTATACACGGCCATAAAGAAAACGGTGTTCTCATGCTCGTCTGTCTCTTATACCAACCCTCTCACAAGAAACGAGTACATCAGAGATATCTGAAATTATGGTTTGAACTCATTTTCATGAAGGATTTCAAACAATACTCATCAGTAAAAACTGCCTCCCCAAAAGAAGATTATGAACCATATGAAAAATGAAGGATGCAAAAGGCTGGCCCCAGAGCATACTCCTCCATGAGAGGTCTTAAGTTAGGGCAGTCCAATAGGGAGAACTTGGTGTTGAGGTGGTATTACTTTGTAGGTGCTGAGAAAAACTGTTCAGTAACCACAGCACATGTCTATACTTTTCAAGACACTATTCCGAAAACCATGTTGAGACTATTAAGTGAAGCATGACTATACAGGACAGAGAGCTGGGCATTTGGATATTGGATATTATTTTCTTACCATTTGCATCTTTATTCACATGCTAAGTAATACCAATCTATTCAAAGAAATGTGAATTTCCACATTGTACCATCAGTAGCCTTAGGATCACTATGTCTCTCTTTTATTTATTACTGATTTTTTAATTCTTTTTAACCAGTTCATGCCTCTGGAAAGAAATGATATCTACAGTTAGAAGAGGGGATGGATGGATACTGGTGATGACCTGCTGTAGTTGTGACCAGGCTGTTCTGGCTTCATTCCAGAGAACTAAACACTTCCCAGACACCATTTTGCTCCCATGACTGCATGATATGATTTTCAGTTTGTCCAAAGAATTAGGAAAATGAACAAGAGAACTCTAAAGTCTTGTACTGATACAAGGACCCACAGTTTAAAGGTCATTCTAGAAAAAAGGGGCAATTTATTCATTTGAATTTGCAAATACAATTGTTTTTTAGTAAACTTTCATACTCAGTCCCTTATATAGACACTCTGGAGAAGTCTGACTAACTTTAAGATCATCACCTTGCAATAAAAAATTTGCACTGAAAACTGGTAGGGGAGAAAACTACGTGGGCAGCAACACTTTGACTTTAACAACAGTAAATCTACTTACAAAAATAACTCCTTTTGATGAGGATCTTCCAAATCAAATTGATTTTTTCTTATAAGTTCAAAAAATTCTCCTCGCCTCCTTGAAAATAAAGAAAAAGATTCGTTAGTTCTGATGATTCTCCAGGCTCTAATCCCTTTAGTCTGCAAAGACTCATGGGGTAAATTTTTGAGGGGGAAAAGAAGAGCTTCTAATTTTCTTCCCCCTGTCTTTGAGCCCAATATAAACATGATCATTTGAAAATCTTTAATACCTCACTTTCCCTTTTTGTCATTTGCTTTGGGTGAAACCTTAAACCTCACATGGGAGGGTCCCGGGTTCATGTCCAAAGTTACCTGTGTACACTGGGCATGTGCACACGCACCTATGATCCTGGCTAGCTGGGAACACAAGTGGATTGTGGCATGAAAACCCAGTTGGGGGTGCCAGTCTCTTTGTCTCTCTGTTATGGAAGAAATTAATAAACTAAACAAACCAAAAGAGTGTAACAAAATTGGCCATTTCATCAAAAATGAAACGTAGGTTTCCTAAGTGTTCAGAGGAGAGATCCATGTGACCTAGAAAGGTTGGGAAGGCTTTGTAGTTGTTAAGTATTTTTAAAATTCCTGGTAATTTACTAATTTTTATTCTGCAATTGTTTTGAATAAACCAAAGTTTACTGTATTTCTTTTGTTCTAAGTAACCTTAAAGTCATTAAAAATTCAATGAAACATGGGACCAGCAGATGGCATAATGGTTATGTTGCTGGACTCCTACATCGTCAACCACAGCTTGAGTTTTGGACCCAGTGGCTTAAAACTAATGCTCGGTGCATATGCGTGCATTTCCAAAATCCCAAGCGGAGAAAGCAAGAAGAAGGGTTTGTGGCATGGCCATTCCCCTTAGGGAGGAGTGACTTCGCACTTTCTGTCTCTCTGTCTCTCTCTGTCTCTTTGGTGAGCACACATACCATATAGTAAAAATCTCTATTAAAACAAAATCCAATGAAGCAGATGTATACAGTCACTCTTAGATTTTTTTATAGTGGCTGAATGGTATATGTTCTTGTGTTTGTTCTATTCATTTTTATCTGTCCTAACAGTAGCTAGAGCCATGGATCTGAATCTCCTTGGGCAGAAGGAAAGAGATCTATGTTATAAGGTAATCCCAGGAGTGTGCCTCCCTGACTTCTCTCATTCCCACATGGACCAAAGATGTCAGTCTATTATGTGAAACCAATGACTGCCTAAATGTGGGAAAGTACGTTCTAGTGTATGGAAATGTAGTTTTATCATGCAGATGCATAATCACAAATACCAGTCGAATGCACTCTTACTTTAGATTTCATAACTGCAGGGTTCTATGCTAATATTCTTCTTTTGCCAAAATCAAATAAAAATAAACAAAAGTTCCTTGTTTGTTTTTTGGTTCCTTTTCATGTCCCACTGGGCTGGAATGACTGTATAAAGAAATCATGAAATGGACCAGCAGTTAGCATAATGGCTATGTCGCTGGACTTCCACGTAGTTGACCACGGTTCAAGTCCTGGACCCAGCGGCTTAAACTCACGCCGGGCGCGTGTGCGTGCGTGCCCAAGATCCCAAGAGGAGAATGGAGGAGAAGGGATTGCGGCGTGGCCATCCCCCCCGGGGGGTGATTTTCTGTCTGTCTGGTGAGCGCATGCGCCCTCTAGTGAAAACCTCTCAAAAAAAAAAGAAAAAGAAATCGTGAAATGGTCAGAAGTTGAGAAAGTGAGGGAAAGAAGGAAAAGTTGTCATCTTCAGGCTGGATAACCTGGTGTAGAATAAATGTAAGCTGGCCATTTGAAGCCTGGCCGCATAGTTCAGGGGTTAAGCTGAGGAGCCAGATCCCACGTGGCCAACGACTGTTTGAATCCCAGTCCTGGTGTCTTAAAAAAACATGCCAGTCATGGGTATAAGTATGCTCCAAATCCTGAAGGGATCGAAAAATAGAGGAAAAAGGATTGTGGAGGGAACAGTCCCCACTGGGGGTGCTTTCTCTCTGTCTCTCTTCTCTATGGTGTTTGCATATGCCTTCTGTCACTATCAAAAGAAAGATGGTTTTTGGATTTATACATATTAATAGCTTCCGAGAAATAGCTGTGGATAAGCATTAGGAAAAGCTATGTATTTTTTTAGCACTGAAGAAGCTAAGGGAGTAGATTTTTCTGGCTATCTTTAAGAAACTGTTCTATAGTATGATACACTGCTTTGCCAGGACTTTTGCCCTTATAAGATAAAAAATGCCTAAATGTGGATGTTAATAGTTTGAAACTATGCACATACTTCCAATTCCTATTTATCTCAGAATTTTTCTTAAAACTTACTTAATGTATAGTGCTAGGTCTGTGGCCAAAATAGCTTGCTTGATTATTTTCAATGTAGTCTTATATTCTTCAATGGAGAGTCCACTGAGAATCTGATTGCCCTTTATTAAAAAAAGAGAGAAAACCATCATTAGCATTAGCAATCTTCCTGGAGAACCTGTTAAAAAGGACAAAATCTGAAAATATATCTTAAACATATGCTCAGGATTCTGAACTCACAAATATGGGTGTGTGTGGGTGTGTGTGTGTGTGTGATTGGTTACTTGAAGTAAATGTCCTGAAAACAATGCTCTCTCTCTATACCCCTACCTCCTCCACCCTGTCATGTAAGAAAAACAGCTTCATAATATTACTCCTGCCCACACATGCACATTTTCCCAATTCTCTCTTAGGTTTTAACCCAGATCTAAAATCCAATAGCTGTATATCCTTTTCCTTTGGGCCAATTAATTGCTATAATCTAACAGCAAGCATCCTTGAAAAATTCAAAGCCATATTAATGGATATGAAGAATGGAGTGGTGAAACTTTTAAACCATTAATTTTTTTTTTTTAAAGTTTTTGACAATAGGGAGCATAGGTTCTATTCAGGGCTGGATTAAGGGAGGGTCTCCTGCAGATCCACAAGTGTAGGTGAGTCTCCAAGGAATGCAGTTTCAGGAAAGCAGTTCTGGTACGCAGGGATGATTATCAGCTGATGCGGTACAGCAGTCATCTTGTAGTTACCAGGAATGGTGTTGTGGGGATCTGCAGTGTGAGTTGTCCTTGGGTATCTGGCTTCCTTAAGAATGGCAGAGTAGTTCTTGTTTTCCCCTGAGGTAATGCAGGGCTGGTAGCTATCATCTTCTCAAGTTGCAAGTTCTTCAACCTTGTTTTCGGCCTCCAGGCCAACCAGCGCTGGAGAGGCCAGAGAGGCCGGCCCCCGGAAGGGGGCCAGGCCTTTCAGTGTAGGCGCGCGGATGGGCAGGGGCGGAAGCCCCCGGCCGCGGGGGGGCCCCTGGAGGGGGGCCATAAACCATTAATTATTAAAAAGCCATTTTACTATGACTTTGGTAACGGGCCCAGTTACACTCCTGGCATAAATTTGTGTAATTAACTTAGTCAATTATGGTAACAGTGTGTATTCCTTAGGAACACTCACTGCAGATGGATAGAAGCCACAGCCAAGGGTGGTCAAGGAAAGCTTGCATTGAAACAGCTAAAAAGAATACTTAAAAGGTGTCTCATCCATGCACAAAGCATTGAAAGTTCTTACTACATAACCGTTTTTTTACTTCTTGCCTGTAATTTAAAGCATAGTGGCTCTCTAATCTTGAACACACAGTTTGGACACTCAGAATATTCAAAAACAACATCTGTAAATTGAATCAGATGCATTTCCTAAATCTCAAGTCAAGAGAAAACCCAGAGGCCTAGCAATGAGATGTGGAAGGAAAGGATTAGTTAAGTTACAAAGGCAGGGGAACTGCTGGGACTGTGAGGCTCTGGCCAAGACACATTGGTTAGAGGACAACTAGTGGCTGAAATTGTGGCATGGATCTGATTAATGACAAAAATCCACAAGTGCAGTCATAAACATTATTATGTTTTTAAAATATAGAGGCTTTTGCTATACGGCGTATGTGCTCGCCAGAAAGAGAGAGAGACAGAAAGTGAGAAATCACCTCCAAGGGGTAATGGCCATGCTGCAATCCCTTCTCCTCCATTCTCCTCTCGGGATCTTGGGCACGCATGCATATGCACCTGGCATGAGTTTAAGCCACCGGGTCTGGGACTCAAACCGTGGTCGACTGCATGGGAGTCCAGCGACATACCCATTACACTAACTGCTGGTCCCCATAAACATTATTTTTAAATATCAAGTCATTTTAGATTCCAAGCCACAAAGAAGAGATATTCAGATAATACCTTCTGTTATTTTTATTTATTGTAAGATACAATAATTTCAAGAGAAAAATTAAATGTCTGTGATATCATCTTATTTTTTTCCCCAAAGGCAGAGGCTATAATTTCTCATGCAATTGTGCTTACAATGATAGAACATATAGATAGGTCTTATAATTCCATAATATACAACTATATTCCTTATAAGTTAAGTAATAACATTTACATAAAATGTTATGCTGATAATTCCATAATATACAACTATATTCCTTATAAGTTAAGTAATAATATTTACATAAAATGTTATGCTGTCTAGTAACAAAGGTAACTATAATAGGAATACTGCCAAATATGCTTCTTAAAAGCAGATTAGCACACGTTCTTCCTTTGGAACTTAATTCATAATGGGGTATTAAAACGAAAGTCTTAATTGAAGCACACAGCAAATTCCAAGGTAAGTACAGATGCTACTACAATAACCTAAAATCCGCATTCCTGAAAAGTCTCAGTTCTGAAAAACCACACACTAAAAATATTACACGATTTGTGGAAGAACACGATGTTGGGTTAGACCACACAAAACCAATGCAACTCTGTATCCAGAGCACAAATAAAACCAAGAATTGGTACCTGTGGAGGTAACTCGAACAGCTTGCCCCAACAGGTCTGGAGACTGACTCTGAGGATACTCAGGATGCACAATGGGCCAGCCTATGGCCTGGGTGGTTAAGGTGACTGGATCCCACATGACTGACTGTGAGATTCCAGACCCAGATCTGGTAGCTTGAGAAACAACCAGGTGTGCGTGTGTGTGCTTGCACGTGCGCGTGTGTGTATGCATGCCCAAAACCTCAAAAGGAGGAAGAAATGGAGGAGGGAGGATTATAGCATGACCATTTCTCATGTGGGATGCCTTTTCACTTCCTTTTTCTCTGTCTCTCTCTGGCCAGTGCACGTGCCCTCTGGCAAAATTTTAAAAAAAGAAAAAATAGAAGAAAAGTTTTCTTCCAAAGCTCAGGAAAGAACTAGTCCCAATGGACAACTTAGAGATATGGTAATAAAACTGCTTTAAGATTATGTATTGACCATCCATTATGCTTGTCCAATGTTGTAGCTACAACTTTCACTTTTTTTCTTATTATAAAAGTAAAACTTGCACACAGTCAATAATGTCAATAATGAACAGACCAAAGAAAGAAAAGTATTACTAATTTCAGTAGACAAACATGACCATCATTAATATGTTGGTATATCGTATTTTGATTTTATTTTCCTTAACATAAGCATATTTAACATAGTGTATCATAGTCTCTCTTTTTTTTACTTTCTAAAAACAGTTTTGCTATGGGGCACATGCACTCACTAGAAAGACAGAGACAGACAGAGGAGGGGAGAGTGAGGGAAAGTGAGAAATCACCAACTGGGGGACGGTTGGCTTTGCTGCAAACCCTTCTCCTCTCTGGATTGTGGGCACATATGCACACCCACCCACCTCATTTTCAAGTTGACAGGTCCAGGACTTGAATCTCACTGTGACTCATGTGGCATTCAGCCACCTTCACCACACTGTGGCTGGTCCACATACTCTTTCTTACATTGATACTCATTTAACCAAGTTGCTAAATAGCTTTATTCCATAACAAAACAATTTATTAATGATTAGAAGTTTCAAAACCTTTAAACTGTACAAACCACTTAATTTGACCAACAAATAAAAAAGCAGCATTCAGGACCAGCAGATGGCGTAATAGTTACGTCACTGGACTCCCACATACTTGACCACAATTCGAGTCCTGAACCTGGCAGCTAAAAACTCATGATGGAGGAGAAGGGATTGCAGCGTGACCATTCCTCTGGAAGGTGATTTCTTGCTTTCTTGTCTCTGTCTCTCTGGCCAACACATGCACCCTATGGAAAAAGTCTATTTCTAAAAAAAAAAAAAAAAAAAAAAAAAAAAATGGGCTGCATTCACCCAGAGCCACAAAATGCCAGTTTAGTTTGTTTTGAATCCAGAGTATGCAAATAGAGCAGGGTCCAAATTTCCCTTATCAGGCAACATTTGGACAGTTCTGATTGTCTAGAGAAGACGGCTGCAAGGATCGCAAATGTTCTGCCTTTCCTCCTTACCCAAAAAGGAATAAAGTATGTTCAAGAATTTATGATGCTGGGAATAAATCCAAAACCTAAAAATAAAACTGAATTTATAAAGCTCTCTTTTAAAATTCCACAAGAATAAATGAGGTACTTACTGGACTGTTCAGAATCATCAGGCACTGGTCGAAATGATGGTGCTCCATGATCGAATGGCAGTAGAGCTGAGCAAGCGGGTGCTCACTTCTGAAAAACATTTGGTTGAGAAAGAAGAAATAATAAATTCCCAGCATGTCGGTTTATCGATTCATTCTTATTATTAACTAAACACGAGGCTACTTCACAAAACTAACCAAACTAACAAACTTCTCTTTTTGGTGAGAAAAGAGTAAGGTAATAAACTCTGGGAGATAAATATCAAGAGTCCACTTGTTTTAAATACCAACATATCCACCGCAGGTTCAAAACAGAGACTATGTCACTGGATTTAATATTGATTAAAAGAATAGAAGTAAGGGGAGGCCAGCAAGTGGCATAGTGGTAAAGGTGCTGGACTCCCACATGGTCGACCATGGTTTGAGTCCCAGACCCAGCTGCTTGAAACTCGCACCAGGCATGTATGCACACAGGCCCAAAATTCTGAGAGGAGAAGGGATTGTGGCATGAGTAGCTGCTCTGAGGGGTATTTTCTTGCTTTCTGTCTCTCTGTCTCTCCCTGTCTCTCCAGTGAGCACATGCGCCCTATAGCAAAAATCTCTCAAATAATAATAATGATAGAAACAAGAAATAAGGACAAAGGATTTCTCTAAATATAAAAGAAATCTCTGAAATAACTGTACCAACAACATTTTTCAATTTCAAAACAGCAATTGATTTAAATTCTGGAACAAATTTGCATACTAGCTTTTTTGAACTCGTTCTTAGGCTGAAGATCAGTGTATTCAGGTATGCCTAATTACAAGGGAGAACTAACCAAGGGGTGAGTGATGAGAGGCGAGGAAAGATGCAGTGCGCGTGACAGGAAGGAAGGAAGAAGGGTGGAAGGAGAGAAGGAGCTAAGGTCCGTGGGGTCACTCTTGGCCAATGGGGTGTGAGGGCTTGCGCGTTATGCTTTTTGTCTTCTAGGTGAACAGTTCTGAGTCTCATTTCTTTAGCCTCCTTAAAAGTACCAGGCAGGACTGAGCACAGTCGCCCGTCCGGGTGGACATCCGGGTGACTCTCCCTTCTGGCTTTCTCTTCTCTGCTTCATTCCCAGCCCTGCCTTCCGCTCCTTGGGGTCGCACTGACAAATGCGCTATATGCACGTCAACTTCCGTCTTAGGCTGTGCCCCCTCACAGCCTTGGCTGAGGTGTCTCTTAAAATTGGCATTTTTCTTTTTTTTTAGATGACCACAGGTTCAGAAAGACTGTGCAAGGCTGATCCAAATGGGAGAGCCGGAATTCAAATATATCCTCTCCACGTCATCACCCAGCCTCATGACACCACCGAACTAGCACACAGCATGCACTCCCTGACCTAGTTAGGAGCTGGACCCGGAAATGTAATTAGGTGGAGAGGACACAAACAAGTTAGATCTTCAAACACACGTTCCATTTTAGATGATGGGGAAAGGACTGTTTTGAATTAGATAAAATTCTTGGCTTGTGAGATAGATGAATGCAAATTGTGTTTGCTTTTACTTACATTCTAAAAATACAGATGTATGAATCAAATAAAAGGGTGACAAGTGCCCCATATTTCCTGTTTACAAAATATTCATGGAAACCAACATATTCTACATCCTGTTGTGTTTGGCCTTTTGACCCCAAGCTAGGCTGCCTCTTTATTTGAGGTTGCAGTAGAGGGACCCATCTAAACCATTC